ATCCCCTTTACAGCAGCCATAAGCTTTGGTTCCTAAATTTTCAGCATTAATACGCTTGGGTATTTTTAACATGTAAGTGCACAAAACAGACATTAGATAAATCAGAACATTTGTTTAGGTTTGGTTCACTGTTGCACTTCTTGAATTTTCAAAGATGAAGGTGAGATAATTACTTTGAAGGTGGTTTCTCCCCTTGTTGGTAATACATTAGTCTTTATCACTGAGTAAACCAGAATATTTCTTACAATAACTGTTCTGATTGCCACCCTTGCTAATTGTGATGTACTGTATAAGGCACCTCAAATGAACCAGACTGTTCTGTGACATTGTACTGTCACAGTGTTTGGAGTTATGTAAACAAATGTCATTTTCAAAGGATTGTTTATAGAAACCTCCTGTATGTACCTTTCTGTTAAATGTGCTGATGTGTAATACTTTACAGTTTGCTTCCTCCTGCCTGGGAGCAAACCCCTCTCAAGCCCAGGCAGTCTCTGTGGAGGAGGGTTGCACTGGACACTGGATCTGGGTCAGTCCATCTGTGGCTTTCAGAGCTGCTGCCCTTGGCAGATGTGGGCTCCCTGATTTTGTAGCAGTTGTCTGCTCCAGACCCTGGGAGCCTTCACATCCCAAGCCACAGGGCTGCAGTCCAGTGATGTCCTCCCAGAGCTGGGCAATCTGGAATGCCAGATTCTCAGCAGCCCTTTAGGCCAGATGCTGAGCAGTTCACAGCAAGCCTGCCTGGCTTCTGCTGAAAGCTGGGCAGAATGGAACCAGATACATTTTCTTTGCCAAATCTGCACATTCTGACCATGTAATTTGTTCTTCTGATATGTTCTGCTGAGTCAAAAATAATTTGGGTTTCACACATAGAGAAACATGATGACCAAAACAAAAGATACTGAAGTAGTGGAGAATTACACTTGTGAATAGGAAAGACAAGCAAGAATGAATGGGTTCTTTATATTTATTGCAAGATACAAATAATTGAAAAAAATCAGAACAAGATTTACTAAGATTTAGTGTTTGGCATATATATTTGTTGTATTTTATGTGTTGAATGTGAAAACAGCAGTCTGCTTCTCACAGACATTTTGTTAAGGCAGTATGGGGGTGGAACACAGTCTTGAGAAAAATTAGCATTTAGAGAATAGGATAAAGTCATGCAAAAATTTTTTTTTTTAAATATTTTTTCTGTGTTAGTCACAAGTCAAAAAAACTTTATCATGTAAAGACTTAGGGGCTTAAGAAAAGCTTTTCTGTAAAGGTTTTCAAACTGTTTAGGAACATTATTAATGATGTGCTTCTACTGGTAAGCAGTAAGGAACCAGCCAGGGAAAACAGAGAATACCTTTAGAGTGTGACTAGAGTGACAATTGATGGTGGCTGTCTTGTCAGAGTTCAGCACATCTCAGGTTTCCCTTTTTGCTGTGGTAGTACAGCTGATTTAATGTGATTATAAGTCATGCAGGAGGTGTTTCCAGCTGTATATGTATGTTATTGTAATTAAAACATTTGCTCTAACCTTGGACTTGTACATAGCACACCATGCTAACAGCAGAAAGGGTCTTCCAGCTGGTTGAAATAAACTGGAAAGTAATTGTTATAAAATAATGAAAGATACTGAAAAAGTCACTAGCTTTTCCCTTTTGGAGGAAGAACTCAGCTTTTAGCATGACAGAAGGTGTTTCTTGCACTTATTTCAGCACTAGATTCCAAGAAAAAATTGTGACTTATAGACAGAAAGCTGCATAAAGAACTAGCAAGGATTACACAACAACAGCTGTACTTCTGAATAATTTAGGTTTAATTTGCAAAATTATACAGGAAAGGATTAGGACTTGTACTTGCATTTGGGAAAATGGAGCTACAAGTGTTGCTATGAAAAGTGGCAATGTACAAAGCACCTCAAAGTGCACTGGGGCTGTTGTGTCACTCTGGGCTGGCTCCTGCAGACCTGCTTGCCAGGACACTTGTAGAATCCTGCCTGGGGAGTAAATAGTGCAGGAAGAGCTTCCCTTGGCTGCACATGCAGCAGAGCAGAGCCCTTCCTGAGGGTTTAAACTTGTGCTTGAGAGGAATGTCTGGCAGGTGCACCTGGTGCCACACACAACATCTTGCTCTGGAGGGGTCAATTAATTCTGTTAGGATTATATATATATTTACAGTTATTTATAGTAAAAGATCTTAGGGGACTTCCAGCCCCTCTCTTCTCCAGGAAAGCCAGCTATTGAGTATGTGGCAGTCAAGAGCACTCACTGCTTCAGGCATATTCTCCTTTTGATCAAAAGCAAAGTTGATTGTCCCACTTTTCCCAAAGCCATCCTGCTCTTCAGCTACAAGGTGTATGTAACCCAGGGAGAATGTCTTGTTCTTCTCTCCTGCCTCAATATTGGCACTGCAGTCCCAGAAGGTTAAGGCAAGATTTTCCTCAGAATGTTTCCTGCTCATATTTCAGAGGAATTCTGATTTCTAAACGGCAAATTCTCCATCAAATGCTTGTCATGATGTTTCTGCAAAAAAAATTTATGTTTATATATAAATCACTAACATGAATTCATAACATTGACAGAGATTACGATTTTGTCTTGGCTTTGCCATCACCTGGTCACATAGATGAACCTCAGTAAGCAACAGGTTGGTTTAGTTTGATGTTGTGTGTGACCAGGAGAGATCTGTGGTGATGTGAAATCTCTGGAAACAATGCTCACCTGCACTCCAGGTTTGCAAGAATCTGCAGCCCCTGAGCCTGGGCAGGAGATTTACTCTCAGGTATGTAGGTGTACCCTGAGGGTTGTAAATCCTGAATTTTACAGAGAGAAAAGAGGGAAACTTCAAGTTACTGCAATAAAAGATGCACACATGTAATTCAAGGTAGGACCAAAAAATCTCTTGCTTTATTGCAAGAACTGGTGCATTTTGACAAATCCAGATTTAGAGGTAACAGAAATAAAAGATTTTGTAAATGGGAGGATGGTCTGGAGCATTGAGAGAACCCTGATGGGACTGCAGAGAGTGCTGTCCAGCAGTCAGGGAAAGGAAGCAAATGATATATAAATGATATATTCTAGATCTCAACAGACTTGTGAAGTAGAAGACCTGAGGAGCTTGTGCTGTAAAGGCACCGTGGTCAGGAGTTCTGGAGGTGGGCTGAAATCAGAAGGACTCTGACTATTCAACATCCAGGGCACCAATTCAGATTCCCACTGATTTGCAGAGCTGGTAACAGGATTAGAGAGTCTCAAGTATTTCTCCATGATTACCATAGGGCAGTGAACTATAAAACAACATACTTTTATTTTTTAATAAACAATGGTATAAGGTCTCTATTTTTTTCTAAAAAACCTTGTGCAATCTTCCAGTTTCCTGTCTATATGCTGATTAGGATAACATAGTTTGAGTTCTGCATTTGAAATCATAATTGGCTCATCTTTAGTCTGTTAAAACCACATATGTGTTTAAATTGAACTTCTGATGCAGAAGTGAAAGACCTTGCAAAATATAGCACTGTTCCTGGTATGTTTTTACAGAGGTAAATCCTAGTGGATGTAGAAAACACAACTCACTAAAATGCTCTCACAAAATGTTTTCATCAAAATTTGATGAAATACTAATTGTAGATTCCTTGTAGTATCCTACTTGCTAGGAAACTCTTGGGAAATCCTTTTATCTTGAAGCCACATAAATCTTTGTGACCAAATTATGGGTTCTTCCTATCCCATTCCATTCTTTATTGCCCCTTGCTCTGTACTCATGCACAAGTGTAAAATTTTCTACTTTAAGGCCAAAAAAGAGCCCCCACAAAAGCACTGAAGATAACATCCCATATAGGAGGTGCTTTTATAGAGACATTTCAATGTGAGGCATAAGTGGAGAGATTGTGTGAAGCTGATGATTTGTTTCTCCCTAATTGCTTGCAGGATGAATGGAGAAGGTCCCTCTCTGTTGAGCGCTTGGATTTTTTATTCTGTCTCCCATAGGCTTCCTACTTGATCCTGGACTGCCAATTCCCCCAAAAGACAACCAGTTTCTCCAAAAGGCTTACAGGAAAGCACAATTTTGTGTCCATGAACTTTTTCACAGTCTTGAGTGGTATACATAAGGGAAATGCACTGTTTTATGAGAAATGTAGACATTATTCATACTCCTGAAATTTGAGTAATGTGACCAATACAGAGTATCTTTTATTATTTTGCTGTTCTTTAATCTCAGAACGATTCTTAATCTTAAATGATTCACGTACTGCATAAACACAGCCAATACCCATTTTGTATTGTTTTGGACTTTATTCTTGAAAGCACTGATCTGTTTTGAAGAGGAATTGCATAATCTAGTGACTTTTTCCACAACATCCCTGATTTATGTAGTCATAACATGGCGAAATTTACTTTTATTGAGTTTTTAGTTTTACTCTAAAAATCCAAACAGGCAAATAAATGTTGGGTTATATTTCTCTCTGGTTATCACCAGAATCATTCTTTAGTCAAGCTACATTTCATCAAGAATTTGTTTACCTTCATAAATCCGGAGATATAAGGGAGCTGATTAATTGTGACCAAAGATGTGACTTCAGGTCAGTGACAGCCCTCAAGTACAAGCTGAGAGCAAAACTGGCATACCTACAATAGGTAGCTGTCTAGAAATCAGCAATTAAATGTTTTCAGGGGGCACCGGGGTGCTAGGAGAGCTTGCTTGACATGTGAGAGACTGCAGGACATCACCTGTGCGCTGCTGCCCGCGGCTGCCGGAGGAGGAGAAGCGAGCGGCGGCGTGTTCCATCAGCGGCATCGTTCGGGCAGTGCCCGGCGGGGACATCCCGCGGCCGGCGCACGGGACGCTTCGCTCCGAGCGCTCCCGGAGCGGGGGAAGGCAGGGCGGGGGCGGGAGCGGCCCCGTGTGCCCCGGCCCCTCCCCGCCCGCCCACTGCGGGGAGCGGCAGCGAGGCCGGGCAGCGCGGGGAGCGCCGCGCACCCGCCCGCCCGCAGCCGCCGCTCGCAGCCGGCATGGGCCCCCGCGGAGCGCGGCGCGCCGCCGGCTGCCTGCTGCTCTGCTGGGCTCTGGCCGCCGCCCGCGCCGCCCCGCGCAGGACACCCTCGTTCGACGGGCACGTCGCGGAGAACCGGCCGGCGGGCACGCGGGTGCGCGGGCTCAGCATCCCCCTGACGCGGCTGGGGCCCGAGCCCTGGTGCGCCAAGGTGCAGGGGCGCCGCTGGCACCTGCAGCTGCTGGGCGAGGGACACTCGCACTTCCAGGTGTCGCTGGACGCGCGCACGGCCCGCGTGTGGCTGCGCACCCGCCGCCCGCTGGACCGCGAGGCGCGGGCGCTCTACTCGCTCCGCCTGGGGCTGTGCTGCAAGCGCTGCGCGCCCCAGGGCGCCGCGCCCGCCGAGCTGGCCGCGCTCACCGTGCGCGTCCTGGACGACAACGACAACGCGCCGCGCTTCGTGGGGCCCGGCTCCGCGCAGCTCCGCGTGGAGGAGACGCTGGCGCTCAAGTCCCAGGTGTGGCAGGCGCGGGCCGAGGACGCGGACGCGGGCGCCAACGCGGAGCTGCGCTACTTCGCCCTCCCGCGCAGCGCGCACTTCTTCGTGGTGCCGCGCAGCGGCCGCGTGGTGCTGGTGAGCTCCCTGCTCCACCTGCGCGCTCCCATCCCGCTGCGCGTCTACGCGCGGGACCGCGGCCGGCCCGCGCTGCTCAGCGAGCCCCTGGAGCTGGAGGTGCTGCCGCAGCCCAAGCGCCTCCCGCCGCCGCCGCCCCGCCGCCGCCGGGCCGCGCTGCCGCCCGCCGCGCCCCTGGCGCTCGCCCTGCCCGAGGACGCCCGGCCGGGCACCCGCCTGGCCACCCTGGCCCCGGCGCGCTTCGCCTCCGCCTGGTTCGAGCTGCTGTCGCCGCCCGTCGAGGAGTCGCCGGTGAGCGTGGAGCGAGAGAGCGGCGAGGTGACGCTGCGCGCCGCCCTGGACAGGGAGGCGGTGGCCGCCTGGGAACTCGTCGTCCGCGTCCAGGAGCGCCGAGGTGCGTGTTAGGCAAAGTCTTAGACGGAGCAGTGGTCTGGTCCCATCGGGGAGTCTGAGGACAGCTTGTCTCCAGGTGACAACAGTTTGTCTCCAGGTGACTGCAGACAAAGCACCTAACGGTGCTTTAGCATCAGGTGTCATATGCAGTGTTGTGGAATGTACTTTTGGTCTTTTAAATCTGTAAACTATTAGCATTAAAAACACCAGAAGTGACAAGAGGCACTATGTAGCTTAGGAAAAGTGGACTGTACAGCTGTGTGAAAATGTTTGGAAGTAGTAAGGTGTTTAGCAGAATTTAAGTGTTTCACCGGTTAGAATTCTTAATTGTTAGTGAGTGGTTGAGACACAGTACAGGGGTTTGTTATTAAAATATTCTCTATAGCGCTTATCCTGTAAGTGCCTAATTTGCAGCATGCAGCTGAAGCCATTGAGTTTTGAGTCATTATTAAAGTTGAGTGTGTTTGACTCACAAGCATGATGTGGGGTTTTGCAGGACTGGAGCCCTTGTGTTTAGGTAGCTGCTCTTTTTAAAAAATACCTCAGGAGTTCAATGTACACCATTAAAATGGCATGTCTGTGACTTATACTGTCATTTTTCACAAGCTCTTACTCAAATTAAATAGAATAGCTAATTTCATTTGCTGATTACATATGTTGCTTTTTAAAATTCTCTTTTCCTTTTAAATTGTGATGTTGGTTAATATTTTTCACCTATGAAAATACAGATTAGTTTAAGTATATTTTTAATTTATGAATGGTGGATATCTCTGCCCATTCGCCATGTCGCTTTTTTAATTTTTATGTTACTTGCGATTGTAGCAATATTGCAGAGATTGCCCAGAACGAGTATTCTGGAGAAAATCTTATCAGAAGACATGAGTTGGTTGGCCTGATTTCATCTTGGAAAGGTTCAGGAAGGGTTTGGCTCGATGAGACTTTTAGTGCCTGTGAGAACGATGAAGTGCTCGGCAGTGCAGCTGCTCAGGGTGATTTCCCTCAGCCACAGAGCAGCGCGGGCGGGAGAGATGAAAAGCTTCCCACGCGATTGCTCCCTTATCTCGCTGCCTCTGGCTGAGGGGCAGCCCATAGGAGTGAGGCAGTTTATTCCTCGGTGCCTGGCAATCCCTGAGGATGCCTGCAGGGCTCTAATTAGCGCCGGCAGTTTCGGTGACACGGATCCTTCCCCCTGTGAAGCGAGGCTACCCCAGCAGCTCCTTTCGCTCGGGTCCTGAGGAGCGGCTCTCAGATCCTCCTCGCCTCCTCCCTGGGGTTTTGTCGCGCCTGTCGCTGTCGCGTGTTGGTGTCAGTCACTCGCACTGGCTTTGTGCTGTGTTCCAGCCTGAGCTTTGGCTGCAGACCAAGAGCTTGACAGACCAATTTCCAAACCGCAGCACTTTGTGCGTCCTACCCCCGCTAGTCACTCTTGAGCAAGGCCGCCTGCCGAGGGGAATGTCATTGCTCCGAGGCAGTGACAGAACCCATCGGGTCAATCCGAGCGTGCTGCTGGGCTGTTCACCACTCTGTCATGTAGCTCAAGTTCCAGCCCTTTGCTGGTGTCAGTTCCCTCTGTCAGGATCAAGAAGATGTTGTTGAAGCAGTGGTAGCTAACCTTGCCCCGGGTTACTGCTGGTCTCACCTTTGTGATCGTTTTTTCCCTTACCTAGTCTGAATATAGAAGTCTGAGATTGCCTGGAACAGAGCTTGTCATTCTGTCATGCCCGAGATTTCACTTCCAGGGCAAGGCTTGCTAATAGAGTTTTAAAAAGTCTGAAACAAGTTTTAACTTAATTTCAGGGATTTTTTTTTTTAGTCATCATATAGTTTCACTAAGTAGTTTGGAGCATTTTCCACTAGCCTAATGTATTAGTGCTGGTAATATGTACTAGTAAGAGAATAAATCTCTAAGAAATACGTGACCAAGTTCTGACTCAGAGATTAGTTAGACAGCAATTAATTGTGGACAGTCCAAATGCCATACCTTAGGTAGTGATGATTTTAAGTTTCTTGGTTTAAATGAGACCAAATTCAAAATACATCTTAATACTACTGTTTTAATCAGTTAAAGGTTAATAAAGACTTGGTACTATCAAAACTCTTTCAAGTTGCAGAATGCTTTCATACTCATTTTATAGGAGTTAAAATACATTTAACATAATACTTTGAAGCAGATTTAGAAAGTTCTGTCTCTCTGCTTACTCACAGTCCAAACTGCAGTAATCTGTAGAAATAAAACCAAAAGGAAGGGATAGGAGAAAAGATGTCTAGCATAATTATGTGTTTTTCTTAGTCTGAAATAGGTGCAGAATATTGCAAAAGCTCCAGGAGAAAACACAGTATTTACAAAGTGAACTTTTAGGATGAATTCAAGTGTGGAGATGGCTACACTGACTTTTGTTGTGAATAAAAGTGCAAGTTCAGGTTCTTCCTCCAGTTTATTTACTTTGCTTTTAGCATTTGTGGTCACTTATTTTACATGACACATAACCATAAACATTTCAGGAGCTGTGGGTTTCTAGTATTAGGGCTTATGATATCAGGTGTCTATTTATTGTCAAGTGGTATAAAGTTCTATTAATTTCTTCAATATTTTTTTTCACTTTCCACTCTTCTTGCTGCCTGGTAACTGTGTACTGAAATGAACCAATAATTAATTCTGTCATTACTCTTCTTTAACCCAGGCAATGATGTTGAGGATAAGACAAGATGTTTAAATACTTTAGCATATAAAGTCTACCCTCTTTTCCTTTATCTTTTTTGTGTAGTTTATTGAGATTCATTTGTAGTGTGCACTTCATTACTTACAGCAGCAAGAAGTGCTTAAAAGCATTGTGCCACAAGTGATCCTAATGCATCTCTGGGCACAACTGTAGTTTTGGTTTGTTTTTTTCTTTTTTGGCTGATGGACCATTCTCAAATTAGTAGCAAGAAGATGGCTATATGGTAATAAAGCAACATTGAACAGTTTATTCCTAGTTTGTGACAGCCCCCACTCTTTAGCTCATAAATGGGGCTGTGTAGATGTCCTTTGCCTGAATTCAGTTTTCTTCAAGTGGCATGTAACAGGCTGTATGTTTGTTTATTTTCCCCCTTTAGCTAAAAGAGAATTTGGAATATTTTTCTGTTTACTTCCTCTCAGTTCTGTCCTGGATAATCAGCACAGCAGTGTGTGCAGGGCTGGGGTTCCAGATGCAGCCAGACCTTTAGTATCTCAATATCCAGGTATCTCCCACATGTTGATGACAAGGAGGGGTTTTCTCTCCCTGAGTTGCATTTTGTTGAAGGTATGAGCTAAGGGAGCTCACTCCCTTGGCCTGGCAGATACCTACCAGTGTAACACACTCACTCACACTGCCTGGGTATCTCTTGGTAGACCACAGGCTTTGTGCTGGTGTATGTTCACCCATGTCAGGGGTAGATTTGAGGGGGTTTTGCAGTCTGAAGAACTTTTCAGCATCCAGGGTAGAGGTTTTTTGGCAAAGCTGCAGTTGAGCTCTAAGATTTTTGTTAGTGATGTGCACCAATCACTACCATAATTATTATCATTACCAGTGCATTGCATGCTGAGGTTGCTTTGTGACCGGACATATTTTGGTTATCAATGTCATGGTTTTATTTTAATGTAGATGCCTGAAAAAAATCCTTTTTTTATCCTTTGAAATAACAATTTGGTCTGTTTTACTGCTACAGTAAAATTAACTGCGATCTGTAGAGGAAATACTATGTTACTAGTTCTGTTTATTCATTGTGTTATTCATTCTCTCTTTTTTTGATACATTGTAGATTTAGTTTTATCATACTTTTTGTTTTCTGGAGGCAGTAATTAGTCACTAAAAAGTAGCAACAGAAAAATGTGGACTTTTTTAATGGAATGGGTTTTGTTTGGTTTCTGTTTTTTGTTGGAGGTTTTTTTTTGTTTGTTTGTTGTGGGTTTGTTTTGGGTTTTTTTTAATGGAATGGGTTCTCCTGCGCCTGTGGAGGAGTTTCAGGGCCTGGACAAGAGAGGACATAGTGCCTTGGTTGGTATTTTCAGCTTCAGGTGAGCTCTTACCCTATCTAAACTTGAACAGTGCCAGGCTGGGATCTTCCACAACCTCCCTGAGACACCTCTTCAAGTCTCTCACCAGTCTCACAGTAAAAGATTCCTTCCTTACATCCTAACCTAAATTTCCTCTCTTCCAATTTGTACCCATGACTCCTTTTCTTGTCACTGCAATTCCTGACAAAGGGTGTCCCTCTGGCTTCCCTGCAAGCTCCTTCAGATACTGGAAGGTGCTGTGAGGTTCTGCCTTGGCACCAGACAGAAAAATCAATCTAAAAGCTGAAAACACTTGAAATTGAAGAATGGCCTGGCATTCTTTATGTTTTTTGTAATTAGCAAACATTTCATCCAAATGAAAATAAACCAAAACACAAACGTTACAATCTCAAACCAAAGGGAAACACCAGGAACACCCTATGCATTAGTTTGTGCCATGAAATGCTAAAGAGAATGCCAGAATTTCAGGGCTTAACGTGTTTTTTGGCACATGGTCCTTGAGGAGGAGTTTCCTCTGGTGACCCCACTGATCACTCAGCCCTGGGTTAAATTCTTCAGTTAACCTTGCCTGGAAGGACTGATGGTTATGCTCACATTTTTTGGTGGCATTTCAGGATTTTATGCCATTCAATTTATTGGGACACAATTTACTCTTTGCAAATGCATAATGCTGTTTTAAGTTTTTACTCAGTGAGCAGAAGGTAAAATTTCTTAGACTGTCATACACATTAATATTTCAACATGGGGTAGCATTTAATTTGAGAAGGAGCCATTATTATTCCATTAGTGCTTGGGGGAAGTGCATTAAAGATCCCACCTCTCTAATCCTGCTGTCTCAAGCTCCCTTGACCTTACTTGATCCATGAGCTTTAGCTTTGTAATCTCCTGTCATTCATTTTTTCTCATCAGGGGATTCACTGAGGGTGATGTTTGACATGCCTTCCAACAGTTCGCAGCATCTC